TATATATAAATGGAGACCCAGTCCTATCCCAGGTCTGGTGAGTGTGTGGGAGAGCTTCCGGCTACCCTGCACTGGCGGGACTGACCACTCATCCCAGCAGTGTGAGTGAGACCCTCTTCCACCCACTTGGGACGCACACCACCACTCCTCAGTGCCTCCACCACCACTCCCGCCGAGTAGGAATTTCTGCCCACTCCCAGGAACCCCCAGACACAGTCCTAGCACAGGTCTGCTGAGTGTTTGGGAGAGCTTCCGACTACCATAGAATGGCAGTATCAACTACTCATCCCAGCCCAGGCTCAGCGTGGGTGAGAAACTCTTCCACCCTCTTGGGACGCCCCTCACAACTCCGCAGCACCTCCTCCACCACACCCGCCCAGTAGGAATTTCTGCCCCGATCTGGGAACCTCCAGACCCAGTCCTAGCCCAGACCTGGTGAGTGCATGGGAGAGCTACCTCTCCCCCCTACTGCAATGTGTCACCCCCAGGCTCAGTTCAGGTCTGCAATACATGCCTGGGGTATAACCCTGCAGCTGCCATCCCTGCAGAGAGTGTAGAGGATAGAACCACCCAGCTAGTCCAGGAGCAGAACATCTTGCCACAGTGGCACAACAGGTTCACCCTCAAGGGCAGCAGCAGGAAGGAGCTGAGCACAGCAGCCAGACCGAAGCCAGGCACAGCTGGATAAATCCAAACTTTGTAGATTTGAAACTGAACTTCAGTACGTGCTAAGGTTATAACTACAACGGAGATCTACAACAAAGGTCAGAAGACAGTGCTACACAAAATGATGAGAAGGAACAAAATGCAACCTTAGAACCCCAGCCTACCCGTAAAAAGTGCAGAGGCCACAAATACAGAACAAATTGGGAACCACACAGCTGAAAGCAATGAATCAACAGCTTCTGAAGTAAAGAAACAGCTGCAGAAAGGTACAGAGGAACTCAGATTGGAAAGAAAAAAATAAATTCTTGAATAAATAGCATCCACAGTAAAGAATCAAATGAAGAAACATATGGAGGAAACCCAGTGCCCACTCAGAAGAAGTGCGGAGGACACTAGCTCAGCTCAAATGCATGAATTAATAGCGTTGATAGTAAATAAGCAACAGCAGAAAGATATAGAGGTAATCAGAGTGCAACTCTTTTCTGAAATAAAAAAAGAACTCTCAGAACTCATAGCATCTGTAGTAAATAAGCAACTACAGAAACAGGGAGGAAACGCAAACTGAAAAAAACACTGCAGTAAAAGAATTTATAACTGCTTCTAAAGAAGTCATTGATAAAAGAAAATAAAGGAGATTAGAAAAATGACGGATTCCTTGAATGAGCAATAAGGAAAGAAATAGATCGCATGAAGCAGAGACAAAGAGACATAGAGGAAATTAAAACCTCAATCACAAGCTTGCAAAACTATTTAAGTGAAAGTGAAGACAGAGTCTCATATCTTGAAGATGCTGGTGCAGCTAGTGAAAAGTTAAGAAAGGAGCTCTTGAAAACAAAGAGGATGCAGAAAGAATAAACCATCACCTGCAAGATGATGCAAAGATAAACAATGTGAGACTAATTGGCATCAATGAGAAAGAAGGAGTCAACACAAATGACATTAAAAAAATGAGCAGAAGTAATAGCAGAAAATGTCCCAAATAGGAGGAAACAATCTGACATTCAGGTACCGAACCATACAGAACGCCAAGTAACCTCAACCCAATGAAAAACACAACAAGACGTATAATAGTCAAGAGTCAAAAAATTCAGTACAAGAAGAAGATACTGTAAGCCACTAGAGAAAAGAAGCAGATCACATTCAAAGGAAAACCCATCAGAATTATGGCTGACTTCTCTTCACACAACATGAAGGCAAGAAGAGCATGGAGCAGAGTACCTCAGGTCCTCTATGAAAACAAATTACAACCTAGACTACTATACCCTGCAAAACTCTATTTCAAATTTGATGGAGAAGTGAAATACTTTCATGACAAAGAACAGTTAAAGAATTTTGTGATGACAAAGAAAACCCTACACAGGTGACTGAAAGATGTTCTAGAGAGAGACCAAAATGATCAGAACTCCACGAATGTGATCAGAAGCAACCAAATAAATAGGGCAAGCAATTAAACACAGGAGAAAAAAGAGTAACAACAACAGGTAAATAACATGGCAACTGTAAGTCAATACATCTTAATTCTAACCATAAATGTAAATGGACTCAATTCACCAATTAAGAGAAATAGAC